CGTAATGCAGCAAGTATTAAATTGTTCTGACATGAAGATATACTATATAAAATATTTCAAATTGTACGTTTTTGTTTTTAAAGACTTGAAAAAATTAGGTTTTTTAACATTCATATCGAAATTTTGTTGGTTTCCATCGAGAAAGAAATAGAAAAGAATTCTCTTTCAAGGGTTTTCACATCAAAGATCAAGTTAATGTTTATTTATACATACAGTTCAGCTCGATTTAAAAGATATAGATTCTAAATAGAACTTCATAAAAGAGTTACTAAGAAGCTATCCAAACCGATATCCTCCGTTGTGATGCATATTGAGTTGCAGAAGTCTCGAAGAGACTAGAAGAAACAAAAAACATTCATGCCGATAAGCCTTTGAAGCCGAGTTATAGCCGTTCTATTGAATTTTCTATACAAGTTTAAGTAATTATCGAAAAAACAAATAACGATATTTCGACCTCACATTTCGTCCATGAATATTCAAGATATTCACAGAGTCACTAGAGCTATTTACGGGCGAAATTTCTGGTCGAAATTCTGTCATTTGATTTTGCAGTAAATATTTATAGCTGGATCGAAAACTTGGTGAAACGATCATAACTCTGCTTTAGAGGTTCATGAGCACGAATCACCCTTTTAGGATGTTTTTAGTCTTACTAAAACTTCCATGTAAACCCAACATGAGTTCAAACAGCTGATATCAGTTCAGGTAGTTGCATAGTGAGTATTTTTTTAAGGTTCTCTTTCTCTTCATAAAGTTAATTTTAGTCAAATTTACCATTTTTGTGAATAATGTCCGATTAGATAGAGTGATGTTTGACTATTGAGTACACATGTAAGTTTTTCTGAATTTTCATATACAAAAAAGTATTTTCATTCAAAGTTAGCATCTTGGTACATATTCTGGTGCATGTCACACGTGCATTAGATCTATTTTAATTGATAGTCTATGGATAGATATGTGCACGATTGTGTAAATACTGAATAGTGAGTCATTGTCACACAATGCACTTGGATACTGACTACAGTGTCATAAGTGTTGGCTGTAATACTGAGACCACAACTGAGTTAGTCACGTCAGTCGTCAATATACTGAAACTACACATCCTTATGTATGAAGAATCACTAGAAGTTTCTTATTATACAGTTTTTTGTGGAAGAAAAAGTCTTGTATTATGTTGTGAAAATTTATTTTAGATTTATTTCAAAATAAGATTTTAATGTTTGACTGTTCTGTCTATCTGAGATTTCACGGTTTTTTTAACTCCAGAAAGTTAGCTCTACACACTTGACCGAGTCATACATTCGGATTTTATGTTTAATACTCGTGGAAGTCTAATTGTTCTGGAATATAATCTCTAGTTCACCCATATTTCATTCGAAACTCTGTCGTCCTGTTTTCACGACATTTGAAAGCCAACCCTAGCTTTCTAGCCTTTTCAATGACATAGAAATTTGGATTATGAGATACTTAGCCTCAGATATACCTTTATAAAGTACGTCAAGATTGGATGACCGACATAACAAATGAATTTTTCGAGAAAAAATATGGAAGGGAACTTAAAATGTGATTTCTAGTAATCAATACATCGTTTAATGATAATCAACTTCCAGATTCGAAATGAAGGTCGAATACAACATTTGGTATATTTTTTCTCACATATCAATGAATCTTAGAGTTGAGTACTTGAAAGAGCTTTTTGTTATATTATTATTGTGAAAAATAGTCGGTTATTTTTTTTACTAAAAATTAAACTAAATTTCAATTCTTATTTTTAGAAATATCCTATTTCAAAAATAACAATTTCAGTCTTTTTTATTTACTTGTCCTTATTCGTTTGGTTATTCATTTGTTCTTTCAGAAGACAAGTAATATGACGGCCATCTCCTTTTAAAAACCGTTGAGCAATATTACATGTCTGATTAACAAGTACCAGTGTATTAAACCATTGTTGAATTAAATTCGATGATAAATAAGAAAGATTTTCTTCTGAATAATAAGAAATAAATGGTAGAAATTCTTTTGAAATATTTTCTTGATTAACATGAATAAATCCTGTTTGAAATAAATCATTAGATGTAAATATACATAATGGTTCATATTGTGTAGATATTTTATTTGTTTTTGCTGTTTGATTATTTTCTAATGTAATAACAACATGAGTACAATCTAATGGAATAGATTTTTCTTTATATTCATCATCATTAGGTTCAATTTGATAATAAGTTACTGGTATAAAATAACATTTTGAACGTAATTGTTCATGAATTTTGAATGAATTATTTTTATTTATAAATAAATTTGGTAAAATTGATTCAGGTGTTGATATTATAAGCAAATTTAAATCATCAATTAATAATTGATTTATACGATTCGATGGATTAATAATTGTTGATGATGAAAAATGTTCTTTAAATGTTTTTTTTATTTTTGAATTTTTTAAACGATTTTGATAATCTTCTAAATAAAAATTTAATTGCAATTTTTTTATTACATTTAAAAATTCACGATTAGGTTTTATTGTTAAAATATGTGAAAGTTGTAAATGATCATGAGTTAAATTATGTTTTCGTATTAATTCTGATTGATTAATATTCGAATGTTTTAATGATGTTGTATCAAGAATAGGTAATGAATCAATCCATTGATTAATATTAGTTGTATTAGGTTGTTTATTCGTTTGATTTTTATTATCAGATACATTTATGATTATATTTTCTATTGATACTAAATAATGATTATTTTCTGATAGAATTCGATCAAATGTTGGAAGATATTTATCATCAATTGAGCATGAAGATGATGAAAGAGAGTTTGTTAACGATTGAGATGTACAGAAACAACAACAACAATAACATTTATTATTTTTATTGGTTTTTTTCAATTTTTTCTTAGATAATTTTGTTGAATTATGTCCCATTTGATTTACATCTAAAAATAGATTGATATTTACTAAAAAGATTTATTTAAATATAGAGTTTGTTGATCATTGACTATATTTGAAAATGAATACTAACCGAGACACAGAAAAAGCTTATCTATTATTCTTGTTTAAATGTACAAACAAGTCGACAAAAGAGAATAAGAAATGTCATGAGTTCACACTGAGTTTGCTTGATTGAATAGAATTTTTTTTTCTTTGTACGAGATCAAATTTCGCTGCGTGTGATGACGGAAAAAGATCATTATTGTGAGAAATAGACAGAGACGGAAATGAACGACTCAATACTCATTGACTAGGAGAAGGGGAGGAGAAGATTGAATTTCTGTGTCATTGTTTTAAAACATTATACTTATCTTCATGTTTCATATGATCTGGCATTGATAAAGTTCTTCGAAAAAAATTTGTGTTTATATGAATATGCACATAGGACAACAAGTAAATGAATAGTCCGTATGTTTATGTACCCTTGTGATTAGTCTCCGCCTATTTAATTGTTCGTTTGTATCACGAACTCTCCACTCTTTTTTTTTATCCTCCTGTCTACACTTGAAATATAGTACTCAGCATTGACTTTAAACTAATGAACTTTATATATATATATATAACAAAAAGGAGAAGATGGATTCAATATCAGTTCATTTAAATCTGTCCGATGTATTTGAGTTATGTCTATCATACACATCTTCTACTTATTACTGAATGCATATGAAGACGAAGATCGAATTGCAATGATTAAAATTGAATAAAACATTAAAAAAGAAGAGAAAAAAGATCTTGAATGAATGATGACGTGATGAAACAAGCAGAAGAAAAAACGAGATAGTTAGATCATCACCGATTCCCTAGTGTTGAAGAGTGTCATTATCAGTGAAGCTAAAAGCTGATTGATTCATATAAGAATCTATAGAGATGATGAAAAAAAAGAGGAGGAAGTAGAGTAATCGATTGTCGATAAGATGTCTAGAATACTAATAGGAATTTATTCTGAATGATATAAGAAAGAGAAAAATCATTTGTTGTCTTCACGAACAGAAACTAAACTACTATAGTTTTCTATTATTCAATATAAAGCAAAAGAACAGTGTCACTCACTAATCTATCAAACAAACAAGCAACACACTGATGAGATGGAGAAGAAAGAAAAGGCAAAGACTCTTCAATCATATGATCCGTTAGACAGACGTAAAGTAATAAGATAAAACGATTACACATTAACCGATAGTATATGTGTCTGTACGAATGTTTACACAAAAAAAGAATTACAAATCTAAATAAATAAACTTAGAAAGTGCAATCGGACGATTGATCAAAGTCATCTTAATATAATCAGTTTTAAATATGTCTAGTCTGAACATTTGGAAGGATTTCTTTATTTAACATAGAACAAAAAAAAAAGATATATACATATATTTTTTTATAACATATGTTTTTCTTCCATCGTTACTCTATTCCTAAATAAGTAATTAAATTCAGTTGTCTTCTATAGAATTGATTGGTAGCATGCTTTGTCTATGTTCAATTAAAGATGACACTAGAGATTGGATGTTTGAAACAAAAATATTCATGTCGGAATAGTTACAATCTTTGATGTTTTTTGTATATCTCCTAGAGACATCAATAACATTTTTAACATATGCTATTTGCATTTCATCTCCCATCACTCTATTCAAGAGTATGTGAAATATGGCAGCGGTTAAGTGATCATCAATTCAATATTGTATGTGAACATACAAGAGAGTCTACTTCACCACTAGTCTCCGTTCTATTGAACGCCTAATACAACCGTTAATTGAATTGCCATCAGGATTGCTGACCGACTTGTATGAAAGGATAGAAAAGATGAATATATAAGTACAGAGAACGATAGAAAGGGAGAAAAGAGGATGATAAAGCACGTTCCATCAACTAACTGGACAGAGTAGTGTCTCGACATCGACCAACAGACAAATATCTTTTGAGCTTATGTGAGAAGGCCAACTTGACCTTCGTACATTCTCTCGTCTAGTTTATAAAGCTATTCATTCAATATTATTTTCAACTTGTAGTTGGACGCAACAATATGACAATTTTTTTAAACAGACAACAATATTATCTTTTTTTACTTATAATCTCATGTTATTTATTTCTATTCGTCAATGCTGATAATGATACTGATCATCATTCCAATGAGACAATTGAAGAATTTAATACAACTTTTATTAGTCTAACAACAATCGATAATAAATTGGATAATAATAAAAATGTTTTAATTCTAATCGATGATGTGTCATCATCTGCAACATTCACTGATTCTACTTTATTGTCAACATCAGTCTCATTAGAAACAATAACTGATGGTAATTTAGCAGAATCAAATACAACTTTTAACGAAGACAACGATTTAACAACAATAAAATTGACACAAATTAATGAAACACGAGATGCTTCGACAATAAAAAGTGAAGTACAGACTACAATTGCTGCGAATACATCTTGTGTATTATCTAAACATAACATCACAGAAAAAAATGGTAGAAATTTAAAAAAAAAGACTGTTTTTTTTGTATATATATATTGCATTACTTAGGTACAACTATTACAGGATGTAATAATGCAACTATGAATGTTTCAATTTCAAGTAGCACAGTAACATTTAACAATGAGACAGAACTTATTAGTACAATCGATAATGGCAATATGACTATGACAACAGAAAAAAATGATGCTTCATCTGAAACATCGACTGAAAATACTACTTTCATTACAAATGAAAATACTGCGACTGAGTCTGATATGAATAGTTCTACAACGCAAGAATTAGAAAATACTACTACAGAAGAATCAACAATCACTACAACAACAGAAGAGTCAGAAATTACTACGACAACAGAAGAATTAGAAATTACTACGACAACAGAAGAATCAGAAATTACTACGACTACAGAAGAGTCAGCAAGTACTACAACCAAAAACTTAGAAAATACTACAACAAAATTAATTGAAACTACCACTCAAACTTATACAAAATCTGTAAAATCTATGTCATGTGTTGATAGTGAATTTGAATGTTGTCCTAATGGAAAAACATTAGCAAAAGTAATAGAACTTTCATTATGAGAGATAATTTTTGTTTTTTTTTGAAATATTTGATAGGGACCTCGATTTGAAGGATGTAATACAACAGAAAAATGGATCTCACCAATGACAAAACAATCATTACAAAGTAATTAGAATAACATTTTCGAATACAAAAAAAAAACATATCATCGGTTTCTATTTTTAAAGCTGTATGTGAATTGGAAAAAGAAGCTGGTAGTTGTAGTAAATATGTTAATATGTGGGCATATGATCGTCAACAAGGTAAATGTATAAGATTTTGGTATGGAAGTTGTGAAGGAAATGGAAATCGATTTGAAACTGACCAACAATGTCAAGAAACATGTATTAGTCCAAAAGGAATCGGTAAATAGAAGGAATAGTTTTGTTGATATAATAAAAAAATTGTTCTTTTTATAAATATTAAATAGAAGTTTGTTTATTACCAAAAATAACTGGACCATGTCATGCAGCGAGTAATCGTTATTATTATGATCGAGATAAAAAAGAATGTCAACTCTTTCATTATGGTGGTTGTAATGGTAATGCAAATAATTATGAATCTATTGAAAAATGTCAATCAACATGTGTCAAAGAAACTGTTGGTAAGGATTTAATCTAAATAAAAGGCAAAAAAAGATAAACAATTGTTTCGCTTGACTAAAGGGGGGGGGAGGAGAAGGTCATATGAAATTAAACAAATCTTTGGACTTGTTTGCTTGCACGTATACACATATAGTTATGAGAGTTTAGAAAAGCTATGCGACATTACTTTTTTATACTGGCAATGCAGCCAATAAAGTGTATTTACCATCTTTATCTTGACCAATTAGGTTTTTCAGCTTCAAAATTCACCCCATCAGATGTGAGGTGTAGTTGTGGGTATATGGAAAGATGTATGGTTGGTTGAATAGATAAAGAGAAGCAACACACGACCGTAGCGGCAGATTTATGAGGTGAGCATTGGGGATGATCGCTTGATTTCTTCATCGAAGCGCCCCAATCATAAAACGCTAGATCTACTATTGTGTGGTCGGACAAACTCATATCCTTAGTGGAACCGACGCGCACATCAATGTCCACACTCGCACTGATCCTCATACATTGGTTTGATATAAGTGTCGATTGGGTTTGTAACGTAGTAAATTATACCGAAAGAGTTGAACATTTAGCCGTGAGTTGAACGAGCCGCAAATACAAGCGTTATTTGTTTTTATTTGATTATAGATCAATGTACTCAACCTATTGAAGTGGGTCCATGTCAAGGAGAATTTATTCGATTTTATTATGATATAATAACTGGACAATGTCGATCATTTGTATATGGTGGTTGTAAAAAGAATAAAAATAATTTTCTAACATTAAAAGATTGTTTAAAAACATGTGTTGAACCGAGACAAAAAGGTAGAAAAGAAAACGATGATATTTCCATTAGAATGTTCTGATCATTATTTTAAAGATATTTGTTTGCAACCAAAAGTTATCGGTACATGTCAAGAACGTCGACCAACTTGGTATTTCAATATGATTGAACGTGAATGTAAATTATTTCAATATTCAGGTAAAACTCAAGTTCTAGAATTTCATAAGTATATAAGAAATTTATATGAATTTTTCTGTGTTATCAGAAAGAGCAGAATTTGTTGAGTAAAATATTTTGTATGTCAAAACTTTTTACTCGTAGCTATTGCACGAGTCAAAACTCTTGAAAATTAAATTAAGTGTGATAAATTTCAATATAGAAATACACTTCATATGTCAAGTGCTTGGAATCAATATACGATATTTAACGTATAAAAATTAAGGAGTTAATTGAATCATTTTAAATATCTTTATTTGATTTATATCAATTAATTTCTTTCTTCTTTTATTAGGTTGTAAAGGAAATCATAATCAATTTTCTACGAAAGAAGAATGTAATCTCTCATGTTCATCATTAAAAACATCGAAAACATGTATGTCAAAAAAACAAAAACATTAAATACTTATTCTTCAGTATTTTTTTAATTAGTAACAAATGATATAAAAGCTGTTTGTCATTTACCAATGGTACGTGGTAATTGTGATCAACAAATATCTCGTTGGTATTATAATCCAGCTGATCAATATTGTCATTCATTTCAATATACTGGATGTCGTAAGTATCTTTTTTTAAAATTAATATTCAAATATTTTCATCTTCGATTTACATAGATGGTAATGCTAATTCATTTGAAACTGAACAAGATTGTCGAATAATTTGTCAAGCAAAAGAAAAAGGTTTATTAAAAAAATAAAATAAAAATCTATTTTTATGATTCCAAAAATAAATAACTTTATTTTAAAGATATTTGTACACTTGAAAAAGATTCTGGTTCATGTGATCAATATAAAATCATGTGGTATTATGATGTATTAAGTGGACAATGTAAAAATTTTTATTATGGTTCATGTGGTGGAAATGCAAATCGTTTTATAACTGAACAAGAATGTCAATTACGTTGTTTAATTAAAACTGGTTTGAAAAATAAAACAGAAAGAAATTTGTCGGATTTGGTAACCTATCTTAAAACAAGATAAGTCATCAAATCTGTCAAAATTCTTTGTATTTGATTAAATAAATTATTAAATAAATTTTTCAATAGGAAATTCTAGTTGTTTTCAACAAGTTGATCAAGGTTATATTTGTAATGGTACAAAATTAGATAAAAATACGACAAAAAAACCACTATTAAAATTTTTTTATGATCAACAATTAAAAAAATGTTCATCTTTTCTTTATCATGGTTGTGGAGGTAATGAAAATCGATTTGATGAAGAAAATCAATGTGTGGAAAAATGTGCTAGTGAAATAACAAGTAGTCAACAAGGTAAAAAAAACCAAAACAAAACAGAAAATATTTATGTTTTACAAATTTTTGAAAATTGTAAATCAAGGTTGTGGATCAAATATGATTCGTTGTAATATTCAATGTCGATTTGGTTTTGAAAGAGATCCAAATGGTTGTGAAATATGTCGTTGTTTTGAACCTTGTCAAGTAAATAAAGAAAAACTGATAAATTCAAAGATTTATTTATATTATTTAAGCGACAACAATGTCCAAATGGTTATGAATGTATTATTATTCCTGAACAAACTCAATGTTTACAAGCACCATGTCCTGTACCAAGAGTTGAATGTCAACCAAGTAAATAATAAAAGAAATATTCTTATTTAAAATTTCTTTAATAATCTATTATTTTTAGTTAGTCCTGATCAAATGGCTCGTTCAAATGGAGGTTAGTCAACAAGATAATGTTATCTGGAAAATAATTGAGAAAAACAAATAAGAATAATCAGAGATGTTTTAGGACTTATAAAATACGATGGTAGAATTTATGTTCTCTTTAAATCAATACTCACTTAGTATTAGATAGAAATATAAAACAACGATCAATGTAGAATGTCGATAACGAGTTAATGGCATTCATCGAAAAAAAGAACATTTTTCAGAAAAGAAAATTTTCTATTACTACAAACCAGATCTTGCAATGGGCTGTTCGGTTCGGGTCAAACCCTTTATTATGCGAGAGTTTTAGAAATTTCACTTAGCTAATAAATAAAAGCAGGACATTTGTTCAGTTCGATGACATTCCTCATTCACACACAAAACTCAAATCCACGATCAACTATATTAAGTGATACTGGTGTTACTGAAATTAACAGTGTAACTAAAAATAGTAACCGATCTGATTCTTTGAAATTGATCACTGGGTATTTTACTCATGAAAGCGTATGTTAATTAACGATACTCTTAAAGAAGTTAGAGTACACTGGAGTGCATCTTATTCTTTTGGTTCACTACATTATTCGACTTATCTCTTATGTTATTGTTTTCAATTGCAGTAATTGTGAAGTTTCATCGTATAGAAATCCTTTTTCTAAAAGAAATATAATTTTCACAGTGCCATTCTGACATGAACCGCTAGGGTGCTGTATACTGATGGGGCAAGCCAAGCGAAGCTCTAATAGAGAAGAAGTTAGGCCATCAAAAAGTAGTTTGATTCCGAGACCTGATACAATCGGATATTTCATTTCTATTTTTTTTTGTTTGTATAATTGTTTAATTCAAATAGGTATTAAACCAATAATCGAAAATTCTATTACAAATATATTTTCACATTTTGATGCTAATGTAACAATACCATGTGTTTTACGACAAGGTTATCCAACACCAGTTATTTATTGGTTTGTATTAATGAATGAAATAAATTTTCTATTGATTGAATTATGATTTATATTAGGTATAAAGAACGACAACAATTACAAGTACATGATGCAATGAGTAGTGGTATTATAGTACGAAAAATTGAACGATTATCAGATCAATCATTATTAATAAGAAAAGTAACACTTGAAGATCAAGGTCTTTATACATGTAGAGCAATTAATGATTTTGGACAAGATATAAAAGATGTACAACTTGAAATTTTCGGTATGATTTTTATTGAGAATCTTTTTCAAAATGATTAAAAAAAAACAATTTTTTAAAGATTCAATTAAAGTTGATATCTATCCCATTAATCGAATTTATCAACTTGGTTTTACAGCTAAACTTCAATGTCGTGCAACAGGTAAAATTGATTTTTTATTTTTTAAACAATTTCAACTGGTGTAAAATAGGTTATCCATTACCACGTATAACTTGGATGCGTAATAATGTACCATTACTCAATACAACTCGTATAACACTTCAAATTGATGGATCATTAATTATTCATCCATATAAACGAGAAGATGCAGGTATAATATATATCAAATATTTAATATCGATAAGAATCAGTTCGTTGCTCTACTGGCACTAATTCAATAGAGTTGGTATTGAATCAACTACAGGAATAACTCATACAGATGGCTTGATTATGATACTGATTTAGTTAAATTTAGACAAGATAATTTTAGTGTGGGAGATGTAGAATGAGCCATAAATGATTCATTCGTCTTGAATGTTATAAAAACTGTATTTTTCTCGCAATTATTTCATCTGCATACAGCTGAAAATCTACTTATTGTAAACCTTTTTTTTTTGAAAAATGAATCGTTTTGGGGAAAGATAAACGTTTAGAGACTTGCAAAGGACGCTATTTTTCGAAAATCAGGTCTTCGATTTCCTAGGTCATGTTGATATCGTTAGCTTTTATTGCTGTAAAATATGGGATCATTGATTTTAAATTCGATTGGAAATCATCCATTCGAATTATTAAGATCTTCACAAGAAAAACTATAACAAAAACAACATCTTTCTAATGTTTAGCAATAAGAAATTATTTCTTTTCAATTGGCTATTAGTTCTAATAAAGTTTTTAACATGAATTTATGGCAATAATAAAATAATGCTAGAAAAATCTTGTTTCATATTACTCATCATGAATAAATCAAAATTGATCTAACAGGAACTAAAGAGTTTATTCAATATGGAAAAGAATCAAAAGATAAACGTTTTGATTGAACTTTCATCGATTGAATAGAGACTTTTGTCAGTTATTCAAAATACTACTTCAATTTGAGTCAAATGCTTGTTATCTTAGAAACAAAATCGAAATTTGTTGAATTCTACTCTTAATATTATATCTATTTTGAATAATTTTCTTATTTTTTTTTATAGGTCCTTATGTATGTAATGCAACAAATAAAAAAGAAAGTGTAACACAAGTTGCATATTTAGAAGTCAAAGGTAATAAAATAAAAATTTTGATATAAGTTTTTTGTTTAAAACTTTTATAATTTAAATTATTTAAGAAACACGTATTGAACCAATTTGTGAAGATCAACCAACATTTGCTAATTGTGAACTTGTTCTTCGACATAATTTTTGTGATGTATACTTTGATTATTGTTGTCGTACATGTTCTCAACATACACAATATTCATTCGAAAAATCGATTAAACCACGAAATCGTCGACATGTGTTTTTTTAAATAAAATGTACATTTTAAAACAAAAAAAAAAGAAAGGAAAAAAAACAAAAATCAATGAAACAACAAATAATTTCTCTCTCTCTTTCTCTGTTCTTTTTTTTTTTCAATATTGTTTAGTCGCTTTTTGTTTTCATATTCATTATCATATAAATTAATCTTTTTTTTTCTTTTAATGTTATTAGTTTTTTTTTCACACACACTCTCAAACATACAAACAAAAAGAAATCGTCATACACATAAAAAGAAACTTCTATTAAATAAAAGAAAAATCTTGGTGGCTTAAAATTTAATTAATTTCTATGTTTTTTTTTTTTTTTTGTTTTGCTCCTCTTCTATAAATTATTTTCTTCATCAATCTGTTCAAGATAACATGTTTCTGTGTTACCATTCATAACATCACCAATTGTTTTAATATCGATTTGTTCATATTGATAACGTTTACGTGGATAACCCCATAATAATTCAAATTGATCGGGTACATTGGAATTTGTCCAAGCAAATTCAAATAATAGTTTTGCTGGATCCGAACGACGAAAACGACGACGAATAGGTTCATTTGCAGGTAAACGTATTGATACTTGAATGATATCAGCTTCTGTTGATGATGGTTCATCGGGAAATGTTTGTTTAATACGATCACGAAATTCAGCAAATTTCTAAAATACAAAACAAAACGAAATCAAATTTTCTTATTTTTTTTTATTCATAACGAAAACTAAAAGATCTTACTTGAAGTTTTCTTTGTTTTTCTTCTTCTAATCGTCGTTGATCTTCTTCTAATTTACGTCGTTCATTTTCTTCACGTAAACGTCGTTCAAACTTAATTTACAAATTAAAAGACTTAAAAACTATTTTTTGTTCTCTTTTTTTTTTTTTAAATAACAAACTTTTTCTTTATCAGCTCGAACAGAATCTAAATAAGCAGCATTTTGTTCTTCTAAAAGACGATCACGTGAACTACTTGTATTTCTTAAATCACTAGAAAGAAATGTTGGTTTTTTTAATATTAGGTTTTGCTTTTTAATAATTTACCGATTATATTGTAATGCTTCATCAGCATGTTGAACACCATTGATAATTTCAGCTAAAAATTCATCGGCATCTAAATAAATAAATATTTCATATAATAATTTCTTTGTATTTTTTAGTTTTTGATTTTTATATTTTTACAGGTATATCGATCAAGTTTAAGTTGAACAATTTGTTGCGAACCATGATGTGCAATAATACAAAAACAAGGGAATGAATTTGCACGTAATGATCGACTAGCTGAAAAATTTAAAGATGATAATTAAACATAGACAAACAAAAAAAACCTAAGATCAACGTACCTTGAGCTCCTTCTTGAGTATCAATACTTGCACTCCATAATAGATGCGTACCTATAGTCGATCGTAAAGCATCTTCACAAAGTACTTCTCTAAAGAAATAAATAGAATAATTAATGATATATATTTGGTAACTACGAAAAAATTTTTTCGTTCAGTTCGTCTTTAACTGATATAGTGAGTTTCAGTGTTCTGCTATAATGTATAGATATATTTACGATTATGTACAAAGTGTCAGACCTATAGCCTTATTTCTTTCAAATCGATTGTATATTCTTTTAATAACTTACAAGAATGAATCCGAACTATGAATTTATATGAATAGGAAATTAATTCAACATACACGGAAAACAATACCGCTTTAGTGTAAGGTGGAAATCATTAATCATTGTTTGTCTCCGATCGCCAGTACGATAGCATGCTGTCTAAATTGTGACATATATATCTACTCTGGCAGGTAGTTAGTGTGCATAAAAAGCGCAAGAACTTTGCATCAGGCTGATCTTCTGTCTAAATCTATAGAGAGTCATAGCTCTGAGAAAGATATCAAGTTGTTAGATTTACCACTAGGCAGTACATCATAAGGTAAGATGATTTTGAAAATTTGATCAATGTAAGAATGAGTTCAGAAAAGTATAATAAAAGAATATCAGTTTATAGCTTATCTGTCGATCATCGAAATTTTTGTGTTACTTTCTTAGCAGAATAAATTTTTGTAGTAATTTGCAGTTTGCTTATGGCAGTTTTTTGTCTTTGTTTTTTTGTTGAGATTTTTCGTCTTCCATCGTACTACAGGGTAAGATCCAGAAATTTCAAATCAAATCCATTGCAATCAAGGGAGATACACTTCTTTCATCTTGAAAGATTTTCATTTTGTTCTCTAGCGAAAGACACCCTTTAAATATTGAACAATAAGACTAACTGTGATGTTTACGATAATTACTCGAATGTAATTTGTCACAATACTGAAAATAATTCTCAATTTATTTAAGAATAAAGAATATTGAAAACGAATAAACATACAAATATTTATTAAACTTTTCTAACAGATCCAAAGAGCTTTATACTAGAGCAAGTAATATTTACTTGAAAACATTTCTATAAACAATAAGTTTTCTGTTATTTATATCTTCTATCTACTAGTTTTTTCCTCTATTTCACAATGAATATAGTTTTCATATTTTCTTAATCTTTGGAGAAGGTTAATCTGTCAATTACCATTTACCAGTAAAAACATCTACAAATCTATGGCATGTGATCAAAAAAAATGATTGCTCACATGTTAGTCTTACACAAGGTTGCCATCTGTTAAGTGCAATTCATCGAAAGTAGTGCTATTTTCAACATATTGCACTCGGAAGCTGATCGCTTTATCTTTTTCTTCACATGCTGTTATTTGTGATTCAATCAAAATTACTTATAAGGAAACCAACATATAATAGGGTTAAAAAGTACGAAATTATTCAAAACGGCCAGTAATCTATTTTCCATATTCTTAATCTTCTAATATTAGTAAACAAAAAAAAAACCAATATAAATTTTTCATGACGTGCAAACTTTTAGTTTTCAATTACAATGTTGAAAAAGCTAAAATTATCTATTTCTATATGATACGGATAAACATCAAAAGAAACTTCAACATTCACTTCATTATATTCTTTCATTCTTATCAATACAAAGTGATTAATAATTATCATACATAACTTTAAATATATGTTAGGTATGATGTCTTTGCCTTTTTTTTTTTACGAAACTAGTATACCTTCTAAATATTCTAAACACTTCTCTATTTATACGGAATTATTATAAAAATACATGTATAAATTTACCTGCAAAACCGATCACATAAAGGTGAATTTTTTTCATGTAAATAAATAAATAATAGACGAACTTCACGTTGTGCATCTCGAAGTGCCTTTAAAAAGAAATTGTAAAAATAAACTTATCCAAAAAAAAAAAAATATTACCTGAGAAAATTTTCCACGATAAAATGGTGGATGGTTTGGACCATATTGATTATCAAAATAAGTACAATATTCATCGATTTCGTTTATAGGATCTATTGGTCTACCACCCCATACTAATGATTTAACTAAATTTAAAAAAAAAAAAAAATAATAATAATAACAGATAAATTCTTGTGTTTCTTTTTTACCGAATGAAAAAATAACACGAATGACTGTCCAAGGTATAAATGGTTCAATTTTTAAATAAAAAGCATATAAAAATGTTAATGGTATACGTAATATTCGTCTACAAATATTCAAAAACAAAACAATTTGATCTAATTTTATTTTGTTGATATTTGAAATTCATACAAAATAGGATTTTCTATGTTACGATCAAGCGGTAATGTATTCGGTATAAATCTTTGTATAGTTGGTTCATCTAAAGTCGGTTCAGGCATTGGTGGTGCTGATGGTAAAACATCAGGTGTTGCTTCATTATTATCATTAATATTTGATGGAAGATCGAAATCAGATATTAATGCAGTTTCTATAGCACGTTCAACATCCCAATCATGTGCAGCTAAATATTGACGACATGTTTCAACGGAATCTATATGCGTAAATTCCTAAATATATATATATCAATAGATAGACTTAATTAAATGGAATAATTATACTCGAAAACGAGATAAAGCATTGCTTTGTTCATCAGTGAGATCGTCGACCTCCATAATTGAATTTTATAACCAATTTTTATTGCAATCCTATATTCTTGTTTTCCGCAATATCTAAATAAATGTTTAATATGCCTAAATAACGAAAACTTAATAATCCAATCATAAGATATGAACATAAAATATATGTCATTAAATTGAATATTTCAAAAAAAACTTAATATTAGATGTTTGTTATTTTTTATTCTTTTTATTTTGTTATTGTTCGTTTAATTTATAATAGATGTCAGCAGATATACCGGAAAGATGAATCATCAAAAAAACAAAAAAATAATGACTTGTAATAGATACAAAGGTTTGATGTTTACCTAAACATATGTTTAATGAAATCAAATTTTATCTATTTAATATAGATCATTTGTGTCAGGTAATATAGATCTATTATTCTATTTGTGATATTAATAATGACAAGCAAATCAAAGAATAGTAAGTAAATGATAATTGATCATGTTTTTTTTTATGAACAAGAAAGAAAAGAAAAATTTCTTTTTTTCTTCTTTGACGTTTCTGCCTATATTGATTATTAGTAATCGAAAAGAAAGAAATGGTGATTCATTTCAATAGCTTCTTCTTTCGATCGTTTTTTTCTTTTACAATATGACAGATTCTGTTTATTTAATTAACAAAATATTACTAGACGTTGGCCTTCGATGACAATGCTTGCTTGTTTTATTGACAGTTTTTTTCGTCGGATACTCTTTGCCTTAGTTTCATTCAAGTAAAGACATACCCTTTTCATCTTTTCTGTTTTTTTTTTCTTCTTTGCTATCCCAATTCATTGGAGTATTCATTGAATAAATAGATAGTATTGGTTCTATATTCTTTTTTTTTCTTCTTTCTCGTATACCCACCCACACACTCTCATCCGATGTGGATGAACTAGACATGCCGAACGAAGCAATCGAACGTGCTGTTCATTCATCTTATTTTTATTTTTTTCTTCTCTCTCTTTCTTATATATATGCATGCACTTGCTTCGACATCATGTCACAATTTTGTGTCAATATTGGCGTCGTTTTATTTTCTATGTGTAGTTTATCATCAGGTTTGGCTGTTCATTGTTGAAAATAATGAAAGAAACTTTGTAAAGAAATATAAATAGATAGTATGATAAACAAACGATGTTGACGAGAAATACAATGAAGAATAGTCAAATTTATTTTGCATGTATAGAAACAAGTTTTAATGACCTATTCTTTTATATTCTTTCAGATAACAAGAGCCCACTTAAAATGGATGTTGATCCCTTTTTCCTCTCTTTTATTTTTAATTTCTATAAGTAACATTGTGTAGAAAAAGATTAAGTTTGACATCTATCACTTATCATCACGATCGAACGAATAGAATACAATAAAAGACAAAAAAGAAAAAAAAAAAACTCCAATATGACATATGCATGAAAATAAAATGATCAGCTTAAAGCAAAACAAAATTTTCTAATTTATTCGATTAATCTTACGTTGTTGTTATATATTATTTTTTTTTCTTGTCTTTTCCTTTCTCCTGTCTTGATAATAATTTTCATTTCATTAGATTTATCTTCATTCTCATCAATTGGACATTTATCTGATCTTATTTCACAAAAAACCGATAAACTTTCACGACCAATCACAAATACAAATCATTATGAATCGTCAGCATCAATAGATAATATACAAAAAATGACGTGTTCATCACCGATGCGACAACAACAACATACAAATTTAACTGTACTTGATGTATATGATGAAGCTGCATTAATAGGCAAAGATTTTGAACGTATTATTGAAGGTATTTTATAAATATAAATGAAATATATTTTGTAGAAATAAAACTGTTTTTTCATATTAGCATATGGAACTGAAACAATTCGTGATCTTGTACCAAAAGTAATACGTATACTTGAATTACTTGAATTACAAGCAGCAAAAAATGAAAAAGACGCTGATGAATATATTGAAATGAAAACACGTATTGAACGTTTAGAAGCTGAAAAAAATGAAACACGTGAATTACGTGAAAAATTTGATAGTGAACTCGACGTTATTGAAGAACAATGGAGAAAAGAAGTAAGAAAAAAATAAAAGAAAATTTATTCGACTTGTAAAAAGATTATTTTTTAGGCAGAAACTTTAATGACACTTGTTTCTAAATTACAAGATGAAAATCGACGATTACGTGATGATCTTGAACGTAATAATGATTTACATAATAAATCTGATTTAGCCAATTCAATTGACACTATCAGTATAGAATTTATTGAATTTATTTTTTTTTTTTTTGTTATTTTTCAATTTCATTTAGGTATTACACGTGAAGAACTTCAATGTATAAAAAATTTAACAGAAGAAAATATTAAATTAAAACGTATGCTCAAATCAAAAGATAAAGAATTAACACAAAAAACACTTGATATCGAAGCTGTAAGTAAAAACAAAGAGAAAAGAGTTTCTTATTTTTTTTTTTTTTTTTGTCTTCTGACAAGTGTTTGCAAAAAGCAAATACAATCAAAAAATTCTAAGAATTTTTATTATTCTTTCTTTCTTTGTAATAAAATAATTGATAACTTATATAGATTCATGCTCAACTTGAACGTATATGTAAAGTAAATTGTACATTACGTCAAAAGAATACATTTACAACAAATCAATCACAACGATTAATGGTTGAAAAATTGGATTTAGAAGTTAAACTTAAAGAAAAAGAAAATTTTATTAATCAAATGAAAGATCGTGTTGGTGATGAATTAACAAGTCCGACTTCATCTATAGTATGTTGATTATAAATCAGAGAAAAAAAAACAGAATCTTTATAACATTAAAAATCTATGACTGTTTTTTTTTAAGAATCCAATCAATGATTTAGCAAATTTAGAAGCCAATCAACCAAGATTTACACTTGAAGAATTACGTCAAGTATTATGGGAACGAAATGATTTAAAAACAAAATTGATGGAAGTTGAAGAAGAATTAAGAATATTTAAAGACCAGTAATTAATAAGAAAATTTAATGAGATTTTATTTAAAAAAACAATTAGAAATACTTACAACATGTCTCAAAAGTCTTTTTCACAAAAATTTTTTGTATATCTTTGCTATTGGATTCAATTTCATTATTTAACAAGGAAACCTTTTTCAGATATAAAGCCTATCGAGAGTCTAAGAATTTTCGGAACCGGACCCGATCGGCCCTATTCAAATACCAAGTCGTTGTTCATTTAGATGAATGCTAATGAATCATAGAAGAGTCTAGAATAGTTTACTTTTCTAAGCTTTCGTCCTTGAAATATTGAAATTTAACTAGGTTTTTCACCAAAAACCTGTGATCCTCTAGTCTTGTGAGAATTTTCACTTGATGTTTTGTGCGAATAAAGTTATAACTATTCTAGTATTGCCTATATGGAGATATTCAATGTTGGAAATTCTTTCATCTGTAAAAGCAAAGTATAAAGCCGAAACTCTTACATGACCTAAGGAAGATCACAACTTTTTGTTAAAAAACTCAGTGAAATTTCGATGTTTCAAAAATGAAGACTCGAAAAACAAACCCATTCTAAAGTTTTCTATTACTCACTAACCTTCATCAAATGAATATTATTGCCTTGGTTGACAAGTGATTTGACGTCTGGAAAGATTCCCTCTTCAGTTTTTTAAATCATAAATCCGTGCCCTGAAGTTTTATTTATAAGAGTAAATTTCGAGAGTACTTTTCATAGCTATCATATCTAATCGAAATAAAAAAAATTCAATGTTTTTTCAATGTGTAGCAAAAAAAACTATACAGTAAGATTTGTTTTTAGGTACTTCGATTTCTTATATCATTCGGATCTTTAAAGAATGTTTTATTAACATTCGTTTTCATATATTTCCGTATGAAGAAATTCAATTATATTAAGTTTAGTAATCTTGACATTCATGAAATCGAGTCATTTCTTTTAGTAAGATACAAACTGTCTTCGAGTCATGTGCTGATGCTTGATGTTGCTAAAAAAATCACTTTTTCTAGTAGTTTTTTTCCTTCTATAAAGTTAAATATAAATAGCTTTGAAACATGTCAAGATTATTTCGCTAATCGATGATTATACCATGATGGTCAATCATTTGGATCATCATAAAAATGATTCAACCACTAGTTTTTTTGAATATAACACATAATTCAATAAGTATTAGTGAGTGCAATGCAACTTTGATGTGGTATAGGAATCATTTTGATTCTAAATATAGCAATTAGGTTTATTGATAAAATGCAGATGATGAACGTATGAATAAAATCAAGATAAAGAAGCAACTAAAAATGAATCGTTTTCATGATGTTTTTTGACGTATAGAAAAACGATTGAATTTTTATATTTCAGTTAGAGATGATAACTTTGAAGAGTGTTTTTGAATTTTGTTCGTATAAATAAAAGTTCAGAGGATAAACTTAAGACTATAAAAATAAACTTTTGAAAACATGATGTACATTTGAATTTCTTTGTTTTTTTTTCTCTTATTCTTATAGAGAAGATGATGATGGTAATGGAGCTGTTGAAGGTCCAATTCCATTAGAACCCGAAGAAAAATTACATGGTTACAAACGAGAAGAATCGAAAATTCGACAATTGTAAGTTAATATCATACACTAATAGTAGCTGCTTTCCCTAGTAACTTATGTATTCACATAACTTTTTTTATTTGATATGATTTGTCTCATAACATTCGTTGTCACCAGTGTGTATCTATGATTCTCTTTCAGTGTAAAAATTTGTGTATTTTTTCCTACTATTGCTTGCTTCGCAGTTGCTTCATATTGGTAAGCTTTGAGCATGAATAAATGCAAGTCGTGCATGCTCATGTATTAATTTGTTTTTGTTATTATGCATGATTTATGTAAAGAAAATTTTGTACAATTATTATTCAAGTATATTTGCATGTTTTATTTTCACAGATTGTCCTTTGTTACTGTAAAATCAGCAACCAACGTGTAAGAGATGAAAAAAAAAAGAATCAATTCATTTCTTTACTAACAATCTTAATCTTTTTAACCCATAACGCAATTCTAACTTGTTTACACTTTTTTGCTATTGATTCTTTAAATGCTTTTGCTTTTTTTTTTTGTTGTTGTCTTATTTATTTATTTTCAGCTTACGATCTTTATTGCCATTATCAAAAAAACCATCGCCATCCGAACAAAATACAGCAATTGAATTAACAACACCAATATCATCAACAATAAAAATTGATCAATCATACGCAACATCTCCTTCAGCATCTGTTTCATCAAATAGTTCATCACCAAGACGACTTTCTATGGAAAGTATTTTTGGTAATAATCGAAAGTCATCCAAAACAAATATGCCGTTGCTTTCACCACCACCATCTAAATAGAATAAAAACCATGAAATAATCTATTTTCATTTCTTATTTTGTGTTTTTTTGTTTCTACTATTTTTTCTAAAATTAATTTATTATTTCGATGTATTTTTTTTTGGTGTTGTTGTTGTTGTTAGAATTAATGTGCTTGCCTATGTCTAAATGTTGCTATTGTATATTTGCTTTATTTCAATGGTTCATATGTGAAATTCTCTTTGTGAATATTTTTCTCCTGTATTTAGCTTTCGATTTGTCTTTGGTGATTATCAAACAACAATAGCATCATCAACTGATACATTATCAACTGCATTTGGCAGTCCACGAAAATTTCCATTTATTGTTGATGTACTCAGATAAAAAAACTCAATATTTTTATTCTTTCTTCCTTTTTTTTTCTTATTGTAATTTTCTTTATTGTATTCTTATATTTGATCGTATACGTGTCAATGCACAATCAATAATCTTGCTTTGTATATCTGTCGAACAGTGTGCAAAAAAAAAAAATAATTCCTTTGTATACGCCTATCCGATAAAACAAAATATGATTTATGATATCTAACATTAAAGCTTTGAACAAGCAAATTAATTTAATGAACGTTAAGTTTGTGTGTATGTATGTGTCAATGTTCGTTTATTTATTATTATTTTTTTTTCTTTTGTTAGTCAAATGGTTCTGGTTAATTATTTTTTTTCCTAGCTTTATGTTATGCTTGTTCCCGTTTATTAAAAACATATAAATATATAATATCGTTGTCGAATATGATAATTTTTCATTTGTTGAATATATTTAGTAAAATTTCTATGAAATTATCTAGTATTTCATAGAAAATTAATCTTCAAAAAACCAATAGAAGTTATTTATGATATCAACTGATTCAATATTTACTATCATAAAACCAACTGTTGATGTCTTATCTTATACGAACAAATAAAATAAAAATTACCAAGGAAAGAAAAAGAGAGCAAATAAATTTTAGTTTTATTTTTCTTCAAAAAAAAACAAAAACCAGAAAGAAAATAAAAATAGATGAAATAGTTAGATCAATAAAACAAAACTATTCTTGTATTTTATTTTTCCTTATCAATCAATTAATTTTTTTCACAAAATAAAATCATCATTAAATGTCTATCTTGTTCATAAAAATAATCACTCGGGATTATAAAAATATGAAGAAGATAATTGAAAACAAAAAAAAAAGAAGTTATAAAAAAGATTTCATTTAAAGCAATAGATATATATGTATTTAAAATAGGTAGACTGTACCAGCAGTTCAATGAAATTAGCACAAAAAAAAAAAACGAAACCATATTCGACATCGTATATAAAATGTCAATGAAATACATATATTTATATTTTGTTTGTATGTTCATAAAAAGATATGAAGTAAATGATAAATATCGAAAGAACTGAAATAAAATAAGAGAACATCTATTATTTATTTCAAAATGTAATTCTCTTCATTGTTTTCTTAATTAATTTTCATAGGAACATCACATAGACACCAGTAGTTTTTATCATTCCAGGTAGAAGACCCAAGATCATCAAAATATAGTGTACTTTGTTCGATCAATCATTGAACAATCAGGTGAACTCTTGATCGAACCTTTCGAAAACGCTATTCTGATGTTATTTTCTTTTTGATTTACACAGACCTGAGATTTCTATCTTGTTCCATATGACATGGATAAATTCACCGTGCTGAGTCAAATGGTGGTAGTTTTTTGTTGCTTCAAAAAGATTTGACTCTGTTATCTCAATATTTCTGAAATTTTTCTGAGTGATGATAAGTCGATTCGTGAAAATCGAAAATCTTAGGAAAAGCCCTCTAAATTTCGAATGTAGAAAGCTTGCAATGTCAGCCTTGTGTAAATCGAAGAACAAGAAATTTTTCTATCAAGTAGTTTCATTAAAAGTTTCAATTGAAAGAAGAATAGCTTCAGTATATCGTTTTCAAAAAAAAATATCTTCAGTGATGAAAATCACACGTCTTTCAAATATTCCTATCAAAAGTAATTCAAAAAAACAATGAATCACATTATGCTTTGAAATAAATAGTAGTTAAAGATAGAGAAAAATTGAATTTTGTTTTTTGACGTACTTAAAATTATTTAGATTGATCTTATTTCTATTTATGTAGTTCATTTTGGTATTACTATATTTGGATTAATGGCTTCTATAAAATCATCTTCTATATTATCATCATCTTTTATCATATCATCTAACAAATCAGTAGTAAATTCAATTTCATTAATATCATGTGAATCCGGAAATAAATTAGCTGTTCCAGATGAATCATCTTTAAGATCACGAGGCAAACTATTTAATGTATCAACCATTCCACGCATTTGGGTTTGTGGTATAGGACCACTTGGTAATGATGTATGTTGAGAATTTTCATTTCTATGATAAATTGGATTGTGAGTTGTTGTTGAATCAGATGAATTTGTATCAGATGTATCATTAGTTTGTTCATCACTTTTAGCACGACTTGAATCAGTAAGACCAACTGTATTTTTACTGGTAGTACCCATAGTTGGAGGACGAGCTCGAGGAATAGTAAGCTTTTTACTACCTGTTGATTGTTTTGTTTCTCTTAAAATACGGATTATTTATTCAAAATTCTTTTTTTTTTAATGAATTCTTACTTATTTTTTGAACGAGAACGTTTTCCAATAATATAAAAAATACACATGGAGAGAGAAATCAATAGAAGAAGACCAGCTACAGCACTTATAACAGCAACAATAATTATCCAAGTTCTTGATGGTGGTGCCTGTTAAAAAGACAATTTTTCAAATACTAGACAATTACTAAATGATTTAAGTAGATGATGGCTTTTTAGCAAGTTTTCATTTATTGTACTTCTTCATGTAGCTAGCAATTTAAATTAATTTGATAGCTAATCAAAAAATTTGTAAACAGTTATTCAATAATTTCAATAGTTGCACCTTTTATAATAATATTTGGTTTATTGATCTTCATCATATTATAGACTATTCAAAGCTAATGTTACTAAAAAAAACTATCGTAGCTATTATCAAGAGTTAATAACTAATCAAGAAAAAACATAGATAAATTTTAAATAGCTCATTTTCTTGTGTGTGATGATTTTTAGTCAGTTTCTTTTGCTTATGTCTTATTATTTTATTATGTTATATTCTCGATGTTTTCCTTTTTGATAATATGTATTTAAAATATTTTGTAATGATAGACTTATTTAACTATCATTGAATATCTCTTACATTTTTTCTCATTATATTATGGCTTAACCTCTTCGTGATTATTTGTATTAGTTTATATTTGAATATATGTCATTGATTTATTGGTTTTATACACTGGATAATAGAAATATAGATTTTTTTCTAAGACAACCACTAATCACTTCAAAATTAATCATTTGTTATTGAAAAATAAAATAAAAGCAAATATGCTTCGTACAACCTTTATTTGTTTATTTTTCTTTTCTTCTAATGTGCTCATTTCATATTATTCATTTCTAACTAAGGCATTATTTTCCAAACATCTCTAAACTTATTGTCTTCCGATTCAATGAAAGTATTGACTATTTAATTTCAGCTATTTTCAATTCCAATAAAAGAACAATTCTATGATATTTTCTTTTCTTATTCATCAAAGTATATTCAACCTCTCCTTTTCTTACATAAAAAAATCACAATAATTAAATAGCTTAGTGCTATCTGAAAAGCTACGAATATTTGTAAAATAGTGTTTGAGATTAAGTAACTATTCAGTTTGAGATATTGAAAAAGAAAAAGAAATAGCTACAAATATTGATTAAACAGTGTTAAAAATCATGGCGAAGTGCTTGAGATTAAACGGCTATCCATTTAGAGATATGAAGAGTCAATGAATAGTTAAATCTTGATCAATAATGAACTATATCTGAACAAAACTTCCTTAAATATTTCTATTCGCTATTCTTATCTACTTTCTCGATACAAAAATTGTATCTCTTTTGAGAATGAGTCAATGATTGTAGGATTGGTTGTGTTATTGTTACCTTCGAAAGCCGACATAAATAACCTTCGAAATCAGAAAAACATCGACAGGTATCATTTGAGGTCATACTGCAAACGCCACGTTCCATAAATTGACACTCCATGCAAGAAGGTTGTACTTCGGTGATTTTTTCTAGAAATATCATTAAAAATCAATATATATTAAACATTTAATTGTTCTATCATTAAACTTACCTATCTTTCCACTTTTTTGATTTATAATTATTTGTATTGTCAAAGTATAACTAGTATTTAAAGGTATATTTTTATAAATTTCATTGACAAGCTGCAAACGTTGAGTAGCATTCAATGATATATTTAAACCAACATAACGTTCAAATTTAACATCTTTTGAATCACTACTTTGAGTAATATAAAATGATGGATAATATCTTTCAAGTTTCACTGTATTTACCTAGTATTCTTTATTTGTACATCCGCTGTATTATAGGCACTATTTATTTGACTTAAACTTCTTAATATCTAGTATTCGAAATCAAAATGATTATGAAATAAATAATATATTATATTATATATCATACTATAGAGTTCAATTCTAATTCGCTAAAAATGGATTGTTTTATTCGGTTGGCAATTTCAATTATGAACCACGTCGGATCTAAAAATGACAAAAATGATCTTATATATATATAAATCAGTGCCTGTATGTCTGTGCCGATTTAAAGATCAGCGTGTAGTTGGGTGTAGGGTACTGTAAAATGAGAATGATTAGCTGGAGATTGGTGTAGGATGCAGTGGGATGAGAGCCAGTGGATGAGGGCTGATGTAGACTACGGTGAAGTGATAGTGAGTGTGTGAGGATTGGTATAGGATGTGCTGAAGTAAGAATAAGTGAGTGAGGACTGGTGTAGGTTGCAGTGGAGTGAGAGTGAGTGAGTGTAAGGTGCAAAGATGTTGGATGTAGGTGTGATGTTGGAATGAGTGAAGCGATGTCGGGAGTGAAGGGATGTGGTATGGAGATGAGAGTGTATAAGTGGGTGCTGTTGAGTGACAGTAGGTGTGCATATGGTTTCGTATGTGGGTAGATGAGATTGAAGTTGTATTGAAAATCATGAGGTAACACACACACTATACCTACATTCAACACTCTTACTCCAAGTCTACAACTGCAAGCATTTATCTAGCAATACAAAGAACTTGTGTGGAGATCGTGGAGGTAAGGACTCTACTGCAGCTTTGATAATTTCCACACTGTCAGAAAACGCTTACTTTCGTGGTGAAATCAAATAACCGTGCAGTATGCACGAATTCTCGCTAGTGATAGGATATTTAATAAGACAATTTACTGTTAGCATTTGCTGCAATACACTTTTCACCAGTAAAATGGACAAATGGGTGACCAGGACATTGACATGTTTGATTGATTGCACTTGAGAAAAGAATAAAATTAAATATTGTGTTTGGACATGCACATCGACCAGTAGCTGCACGACATTCAGCAGGATATATGCATTGATTTTCACAATCAGATGAATAGTCCGTTAGTAGACAAGAGTCAGGTGTGTTTAAGATATTTTTATATGTTTGGGTTCTATCACCTTAAAATATTATTTCGTTTATGTGACATATTTATTTGAATCATTTTATGAACATACCTCCTACTGAATACCCATCGGTGCATCGACATTCATATAGGCCTCCAATATTAACACAATATGTGTTAGTATAATTGGCACAACTTATAGAATTTAGGCATTCATTGATATCGATACATGAACCAACAATAGACTATACAACAAAACTTATTAACTGTTAAAATTTGTGAAAAATAAAAAACTTTCACAAACCTCATAGCCATCTTTACAATTACAAGTGTAATTTCCAAAAGTATTGTAACAAATTGAACTTTCTGGATTACAAGTACTTGCATTCTTTGCACATTCATCGATATCTGTATACATAAATTAATTGAATCGTCAAAACTTAGCCTCACTTATTGATTTCTCATACCTGTACAAGACATAGTTGTGTTGTCTTTTTCATAACCAAGTTTACATGTACAAATCGCTGTACCACTATTTGGATCTGTTGAACAATCTTCTGTTATATTATTACATGGACTATTGATTGCTGATAAGAACAAAAAAATTTCCTTCATAACCTAAAGATCGAATGATAAGTGAAATATTCCTACCACATTGATCAATAAGTTGAATACAAAGAGGTGGTTGATATATGGGATCGCAAATACAGCTTTCATTTACATGTGTTGCATTTCGATTACATTTACCATGAACACATTCACATGACTGCTTACAACCATAACCATAATTTTGATCACGACATGCTTCAAATAAATAAATATTATGAAAATAAAATATTTGAAATATCAAATACATATATCTTACGCAGACATCCCTTCATAGTATCAGAATAATCAAAACCTGGGTATTTCATACAATTACATTGATAAGAATTAGTTTTTTGTTCACAGAATTCATCACATGTCGACTTGCACCAAGCCGAAATTGCTATTCATTTTGATCAGTTATATCTATTAAATCATCTATTGTATCAAAGCTACTTACGAATACAACCACCATTTATTTTGACAGTCTCATTTACACATAGGGTAATATTGTTACTATCGATGCAGGTTTCATTAGTAGTAAAATTACAGAGCTTTGGATCGTCTAAGAAAACAATATTTAACAATGGGATTGATTCGTAATCATGATTTTTCAACTATACGTACAAGTACAATTTCCAGTACTGTTAAAAACAGGACTGCATTCACATGTATAACTTCCATTGGTATTGATACAAATCTCACCATCAATACAGCGACGAATAAAAGTACCATTGATATTCGGTTCAGTACATTCATTAATATCTTAAGAGAAAAGAAATGAGGACCTATTTATTTCATTTTTTTGTTATTTAGAAAAATTTACCAACACATGTTTCATTATAGAATCGATAACCAGAAAAACAGTCACAGGTATATGATCCAATAAGATTATTACATACGCCATTTCCACATAAAGATGAATTTAAATTTAAACTGCATTCATTTTCATCTGAAATTAGACTTCTTTACATCAAAGTATTCTAGTTTTCATAAATTCTTACCTTCACATGTAAAATTATCGACTGGAATATATCCTTTTACACATGTCCCGTCACAATAATAGGAACGATTTTGCTCTTGTTGTTGAGTGGCATTCAATCTCACACATGTTGTTTTATTATCCCAATTGACTTTACAAGCACTACCAGATGTACAGCCATCATAATCCAACTGACATAAAATACCTTATGAAGAAAAAGTTCTTTTTTTTTAAACAAGAAATTTAACGTCTATTCATTTTGTATACCATCATATTGTGCTGGACAGTCACATGAAGCAAGTTGATAATGATCAGATATTGTAGTTGTTTCCTCAAAATTACATGTACCATTGTTGGTACATAAACAAGCGAGAATATCCAAATATGTTTGAGATGTAGAATTTGATCCATATTGAATTGTCAATCTAGAATAAATTATAGTTGTAATCGTGTTTTTATCTTTTCTTTTTTTTTTATATTGAAATATTTTTGTAAAAAATAATCAGCAATTTCGTTAAAATTACAATGTTGCAATACTGTTTTATAAAGTCCTTCATAGACTTCTAAACAACAAGAAACAAATCAAATCTTTTCCTTTACGTCTACTGATGAAATTATCATGTAATTGTTAGATTTGGTTTTATTTTTTAGACCCGTGGTGAACTAGAGAATCGAATTAGAATTAATTTCGCTTCAAGTTTTTTTGGCAGCTGTTTTTTTAATTTAATTATAGAGACCAACAATCATAGTGTCGGTTTGGTAGGTATATTCATTCATATCGATTTGTTTCTATAATTTAACTGCAAAATAATCAAGCATAAATATCATCAACAGTTAGATATTGCTGGCTTATGTCTTCGACACACGTTATTTCTTTTGATTCGTGACGGCATGATAAATAGATATGATCGTTATTTAAAAAAGCAACATTGAGTTCTTCATGAAAACAAACCGATGATATTTTGAATATTAGTTGCGGAAGTAACAATTGAAACTCTCTTGTTGGGTGTTCCGTACTAGAAAAAGTTCTCACATTATTGAGAATCTGATAATTCACAATGAATAAATTCATGTATGAATCCGAGTGATATAAGAGACAATATTTTTCTTTTTTCTACTGTATGATTCTTCAAAGAATGTGATGACGAATGAAAAAATTACTTCAATAAAATTTAGTGTAATATTACAAAAGACCAAAGGAACAAAAATACTGATAATGTGAATATTTCTTTTTATGATTTTATCAAAGTAAGATTGAGTTCAAAAACGAAAAAACGTTTATCCAATTAGCCATGAGCGAATTTAACGACAAGATACATAGATACATAATGTTGCATCATGAAGGTATAGATAAAACTCGAAATAGCGCTTTAGACAATTGAAAATACTTACAAAACTTCAACAGAATCATTTACATTGTTGGGCATTAGCACTGTGATAGAAGACAAACCATTATTAGCGATATTTTGTGTTCTATTAGATGGATAAATTGTGACATAGGCACTTTTTATAGTTGTTCCATTATCAGGTATAATATTAATTTCAAATGAATAATTACGATTTGTATTATCAATTGGTGAGATAATTTTAACGGGTAAAGTCAAATTGATAGTTGGAGGTATTTCACCTATTTTAAATTAACAGAAAAAGAACACATAAGAATTGCTTTTTAATGAAAATTTTACCTAAAGCAATTCTCGATTCTTGAATTAATTCTAAACCTAAAGCTGTTACTTCACTAGTAAAAGAATTAATTCGAATGAGATAATCATGAATACATTCAAAATTGTCATGACATGTCCGATTGACAACGATTTGATTCAAACTTGGATTCAAACTTGTAAGTAAGTTTGATGCATTCTTATAATACCATTCTACTAAACTTCTTGGCATAATAGGTATTCTATTGTCGAATGTTGTGTCATTCGGTACCTTCCCTGAAAGAAAAGTTTTTCTTTTAAAAGATTTACTATTTTGTCATTGAAACTTACAAGACAAACAAGCATTAAGAACATCTTCATCATGCCGTGATACTGTTATATTCACTAAATCTGTTATTGGTATTATCTGATTTGTTTGTCGATTGAATAGATCATCATTGGGTTTTCCATTGAAATTTCCAACTAGACCTTCAATATGTGTTCGAAATTTCTCTGGTAATATTAGTTTACATTCGAGATTTTCGCCAATAATTTCAAACTGCATAGAAAGTCCTAAGAACAAGAAAAACACAATATTTCTTTTATCTTTATATAAAATGGAGACAAATATATAATCACTTACCAGACCATAGAGAAATGGTCAGCTGAGGTATTGTAGCATTTAATATAGATCTAGTTGTTTGTTGTACGCGATAAATATATCGTTCTGTATAATTCATTGTATTTATATAATCATAATTAAAGTTATTTGACAAATCATTTGTAAGTGTTGCATCGTTGTTAACGGAAAAGTCTTAAAAAATGAATAATTATTTTTGTTTATTACAGGTTTTTTAATATTTATTACTAAATTTGCCATTGTTATTACTAATGACAAAAGTAAAGCTGACAGCAATTATAGTGTAACTTGAAAAAATTGAACCGTAACCATGTGTTCGTTCAATATAAGACAACGCTGGTGGTACGAATACAGAACGAACACGAATTTCAAATAAATCATCAGGATATATAAGATCAATATTCGATGCATTGTTATTTAAATTACTTTGTGCAGTTGCACTAGCTTCAGGCGTCGTTTGAGCAAAAACAAAAAGACCCTGTATGTGACATGTATATCGACCATTATCAATCGTATTAACATGAGGATCACCAACACCAGTGACTATAATAATAAAACAATTATTATTTATATTCCAAATTTCTTTTTTTTAAACAAATATCCAATAGAGAACTAAAATGAAACATTACCTATAGCTGGAGGTCGATATCCTGTACAACTACTGGGTGGATGAAGTTGAAAATAGAAATGACATGTTCCCCAATCTGGACGTCCAGTTATATACGAAGGGGAACAACATTGATCACTAAAATCATCTAATAAATACAATCAATACAAAAAAGAAATATATTTACTAAAATGGGATTCGTCTTTGCCAAGGATATGGTAGAAAAAGAATATATGGATTTGATAAAACTGATCCGGCCAGACTACCAAAAGTAATTAATCCTTGGCTGAACCTCTGATAACAACATGTCTAAAATTAGAGATATATTTTTATTCATTTAGTATACTATAATTGATCCATTGTCGTACTTGTGACCTGAGTAATTGCAATTTCCAACCTATATTTATCCAACTAGTAGTCCTGGGTGCATAACAAACAATATTTTGAGATAATTCATATTGAGTTTCGCTGAACAAACGACCAAAACGAGTATCGATTTGTGCTTGTCGAAGTGTACATGGACATGGAAATCGAGGATTTATTCTAAATATAATGAAAATAAAGTACAAATAAACTAGAATATTAATTCATACCTTATATCATTTAGATTCTCCCAAGGATACAATATATTTATTCTTGTTTCTTGTAAAAAGCTCACTTCACATTGACTTAAGAAACGACCACCAACATAAAAGTATGTCTTACTACGTTGTGCTAAAAGAATATTATAAAGTTAGACGTAAAAATATTTTTTAAGCAATTAAGTGAAATACTTAGAAACAAAGCATTTTGATAATAAGACTGATCATTTAAAATTTGCACTAGAAAATTTTTTCCACGATATCCTAAATAGTAAGAAAAGAGATGATTGATATTTATATAAAATTACACAAAAATGAATGAATAACATACCAACAAAAGGTCTAAAATAGCCAAGATCACTCGGAAGATTGGTATAATCGAATACAATATAAGATCGAAGAACTGGATAACTATAGAGTGAAGAATCATATTCATATGTATTAATCAAATATGCTGAGAATGATACATTCTTTAAAATAAAATGAATAAAAAAATATTGAATACGTAAAAAGATATTGAGACTAATACTTACTATTGATTTATTAACAGAAGAAAATTCATACAAAAGATTTTGCCAAGTGATTCGAGTAACTCTTGCTGCTGCAAAATTCGTTGAACAAAATGATATTGGACAAGCGAATTTGATGACTGATTGAATCACATCATTGTAAATACTTGCATCACTACCAGTAGCATTCGTCGAACTGAACCAGTTAATTATGATATTGGAATAATTCTAAACGATTGTTTTTTATATCATTTTAGAGAAAAAAACAGAAACATTGATAAAATAAATTACTCACAGAAATATAACTCATGTCTGCCCAGAATGGAGCTGCAATAGCTTGATTATTGATTTGTTGAAAGGCAGAAGTTGTCATTGTTCGGGCATAATAAGGTGTATCGAATGTAATGTAACCTTTATTAGATATCTATAAAATAATAGAAAACATTTACAAAAGATTATTTTGACTTAACTTAATAATCAAACCCAAATACGACGATATGTTTGTTCAAAAAAATACATTGTATCAGGTAATGCATAAGAAATAATTCGTATGCTAGGATCTCTATCAGTAGTTGGTGGAATAACACTAATTGCTGAAATAGATTAGAAAAATAAGAATGACATTGTATATGTATAGATAGGAATATAATGAAATATATACTTTCACAAGGTGGAGAAGAAGAACATGTTTCATTTTGTACAGCACTGCCACCTCCGCAAAGAGAATTTGAACAACTTTGACCAGTAGTAACGTCAACACATAATCGAACTACTATTCGATATGCTGGTCCACACTGTGGAGTACAATTAGTTATTGGTACCCAACTGGTCCAAATACAGACTACAAAGGATGAAACAAAATTAGAGAATGAAACTAAAATTTTTTATCATTACCTTGTGGCCTTACTGTTGTTGCTATTGTCGTCGCTGCCGTTGTTGTTATTGTTGTTATTGCTGTCGTATTTGTCGTTGTTATTGTTGCTGTTGTTGTTGCTATTGTTGTCGTATCTGTCGTTGCTGTTGTTGTCATTTCTGTTGTTGCTGTTATTGAGGATTGAGTTTCAGTTGTTATTTTTTCGGTAGTGGTAGAAGTTGAAGTTGAGTTTTGAGAAGGTACTATATACGATGATGAGAAACTAGATTGTGAAGAAGAAATAAACAATAGTGTTTAGTTACCTTCAGATGTTGTTTCGCTTGTAGAAGTTGCCGAGGCCGTACTTTGAAAATCACTTGTACTTAAATGAACAGTACTTGTCGATTGTGTTGTACTTGTCACTGTCACTGCTGTGGCTATACATAATCAGAGAAAAATACTTCAAATATAACCATAAAGGATGTCCTATAATAACTAATGATAAATTGTTAATGATATTTTTCATACTTTTTGTTGACTTAGAGGACCTAAATTTTTATCGCATATATATCTAATGAAGATCTTTTGTTTCTGAAAGTTTCAACTATCTAACTAAAACTAGTGGTGATATGCATCGACAAGATTGAAATACATATATTTTCGTAATGAATATTGCAAGGTAGTTCCGTGGGTAGTCAATCAAAAAATCACACAATATTCACAAAATTTTCTTTTATATCAAACTTTGTAGAGTTCTTTTCCGTTGATCATTTTAGTAAAAAAACTTTTCGAATTTCATTGAGAAATGATGATGTTATAGTCGAAATATGTATCAAAAAAAAACAGAAAATGTCAGATTTTCTTTTTTGATAGGAATATCATATACAATGTCCAATCAAGATTTTTTCCTCCTAATCGTCTGTATCCAAGAAATCGACTACAGGGTTTTGTAAAACAAACTTTCCTCTACAAAATCTATTATGTCACATATCTCCAGAATATAGCCGTTTTGAAATATGTGAATCGACTTTTACTTACATTTTACAATGTTTAGTATATTGTTTATAACATCATCATTTCTCAATGAAATTCGAAAAGTTTTTTATTAAAATGATCAACGGAAAAAAACTCTACAAAGTTTGATATAAAAGAAAATTTTCTGAATATTGTGTGATTTTTTGATTGACTACCCACGGAACTAATGGGTGACCCATAATAAATGGCCGCACTTTGCATTGCATATTTTAATTTCAAAATACGTATTATTAAAAAAAACAAAATATATTACGAGATGCAGCGTGAAAAGCTCTACAATCTACAATGTAAAGCTTTGTTTAATTGTGCACTTTTTGTTTTCAAAAAATGCAAAATTCTATAAGATCTTTCTTTGTCTTTCCGAAAACATCATTTTTTTCTACACGAACGAGAAATTTCTTTTTTCCTATTTCATCTTTTTATCACTTAATATGTTTCATTTTGACAAAAACAGAATATACCACAGGATGCAGCGTGAAAAGCTCTACAATCTAGGAAGTAGAGCTTATTTTAATTGTGCACTTTTCTTTTCAAAACTATCTACAACCAATTTTCGCCGTTGTGAAAGCATTATTTTTTCAACATGGATGAGAAATTCCTTTTTTCTTATTTCATGCATAAAATAAACTGCTGTGTGAAAATTGCAGAGCTTTTCACGTTGCATCTTTTGTTTTTTTTTACGAAAGCATATTGGGTGATAAAAAGATAAACTAAGAAAAAAGGGTGTCCCGCTCGTGTAGAAAAAATGATTTTCTTTGCAACGACCAAAATTGATCACAGAGAATTTTGGGTTTTTTGAAAACAAAAAATACACAATTAAAGAAAGCTTTATATTGCAGATCGTAGAGCTTTTCATGCTGCATCTCGTAGTATATTTTGTTTTTTTAATAATACGTATTTTGGAATTAAAATACGCAATGCAAAGTGCGACCATTTATTATGGGTCACCCGTTACCTTGCAATATTCATTACGAACATATAGGTATTTCAATCTTGTCGATGCATATCACCACTAGTTTTAGCTAGAGAGTTGAAACTTTCAGAAACAAAAGATCTTCATTAGATATATATGTGATAAAAATTTCAGTCCTCTACGTCAACAGAATGTATGAAAAATATCAAAAATTTATCATCAGCTATTATGGAACACCTTTTATTTAGTTCAAAAATGGTTTTTATTAAAGAGAGAGATTTTTTACAATAAGATGATTCATCATATTTCAATGAATTCTTGTACATTATTTTGTCTCATTGTTGCTGAGACTTTCTTAATTGTATAAATACTCTTGACTTCTGTGCTTTTCTTTATAGAGGGTGGCCCAAAAGTCACGCACCCGACAAAAAAAATTGAATATCTCCATTAAGATTTGAGCAAACGAGCTGATCTTTTTACCAAAGATAGAGGCATGTTCACACTCCAAATCCATACGGACAAGGTTAGCGAAGAGCTTTGTTAAGTATATTATTTTCTTTCTTATCTGTGAAAAAGTAAAATTTTCTGGTTCAGATCAATAGTGATACTTAACAAAGGTTTTCATTATTCTTGTCCGTATGGATTTGGACTGTGAACATGCCTCTATCCTTAGTAAAAAAAAGAAGCCCGTTTGGTAAAGCCATAATGGAGATATTCTATTTTTTCTGTCGGGTGCGTGACTTTTGGGCCACCCTGTACTATAAATAATTAAAATTTTCAAGATAAAGCTGAAAGAAAAACAGTACTCTACGAGTAACATTGAATACACATCACTAGTTTTGACTAAGCATTGATATTTTATCATTAAAAATTGCTTTTATAGTTTTCTTTGTCAGAAAAAAAAACTGCCTAGACAAAGACTTACTTTCTTCTGTAGACGTGCCACTGCCATCCGTAGATCCTTCATCAGGAATGGTTGTTTGAAACGATGAAATAACGTCTTCAAAGTTAACCAAACGATAACCTTCCTCTAACAATTGTTCTTGTTCATAACTATTGAGTGATGATTGAAAATGTTTATCAGCATCATCACTACTTCTGATAGATGAGATTTCACGAGTTATTCCCGTTAAATCAGAATAAAGACTTTGATTAGTCTTATTAGTCGATTCCACAGTGACTGAATGTGAACCTAAGAAAGAGTCATAGTTAGTTCATAAGCTCATTTTGTTTGGATGAAACCTTCTATAACATAGGTTATGCCAATTATTATAGAAAAATAAGAATAAAAATCATCATTTACAAAAATTTCATTTATTTATATGTAGCTCTAGAAAAAAAAAACAATATCCACTGAACGCTAATTTTCATATGTATGCATATAAAATAGAAACTGCCAATCAAAATCCTTGTGTTTGGTGGTTAAAGTTTCCAAGAAAAAAATAATAAAAGGTTGATTCAATCAAACAAATCAATATGAATCCACAATAATTCGAAAGTTTATGGCCGTTTACTATATACCTATGTGTTTTTTTTCATTCATTATATGATTACCTTTTACAATAGAAGTTAAGATTGCAATTGTAATAAAACATAATAACCAACTACTAGTTGGTCGTAATTCTATCGAAGGACTTCTATATTGTAAGTTCATAGTCTAATAACAAATAAAAATCATTGATAATTATACATCAATAATCGATTGAATAATAGTGAAAAAAAAAACTGGAAGTATGTACGAACAGCTACAACATACATTTGCATATAAACGAGAAGAAAACAATGAGAAAGCAATAAAAAGACTTGGAAAATCTCAAACGAAAAGAAAATTATACAGAGGGAAAAATAGAGTAAGAGAAAACCTAGTCTGTGAGGTGGCGATCAATGAACTCAACATGAGAATGAAAAAAGAAGAGGAGAAAAGCATTTCTTCTTTTTTAAAATTACTGGTTCTCGTCTATGATTGAGTTGTATACGAGTGAGCTCGTAAGCGTACATGACCTTGCGTCAATATATTATGTCGTAGGTTGTTCTGCTTATCATGTTGTGGACAATAAAATGGCACTTGAAAACTTCAAAAGCTATAAAAACGAACGATACACTATTCTATTCTTCACATAGACAATCACTAAAACAAGAAGTAAACGTACTGCAGAGAAAAATGCATTGTCAATACATTTCTTCAAATTGCATACCAATATAAAAAACAAGAATATATATATATATAGGAGCATTTTTTTTTCTTTATTCTTATCAACTTAAGAACAATTTACGAGCATTTTTGAAGATATAAAAATCATGAATACTATCTTCAGCCTACACTTATAATGTTAAATCGTTGTTCGCGTATTGATATCCGATGATTGTTCTTTTTTGCTTTTCTTTTATAATAAAACAAAAAGAGAAACTTTGAGAAGAAATCATAAACAACAGTAAATAAAAGATTCAACAAAAAAAATATTGCCACTGAAAACAAAAATGGAAATTTGATAATTTGTCTTCTATTATTTGTTATCAAAATTAAATGAATCATATAAATAAAAATATATATTCATTTACATCTAGCATATAAAGTTGAAAAACAAATAATATGAATGAATACTAAAATTTATTTAACATATGTCATCATCTACCATAAAAATTGTTTTCTTCAATGCCTTTCTTTTTAACAAAGTTTATAATAAGCTGGTTTTTCACAATGAACAATATAATAGATACAAGAGAGAAGATTAATAAGAATTCAAGATTATTCGCTAGATATTCGAAAAAAAAACTCCGATTGAACAGTTATCAAATATAATTTCATTGGGCTCATTTTTAGTCAATTCATTTTTGTCTTCATTTTTCTTTAGTTAGTTTTGTAAGTATATTCTTATGCTCTTACTTATGTTTGCTTTTAAATTGAATAATGAATAACTTCAACAAACAAGTCTATTACAACAAAATAAATGATGAAATGAGTTAGTCAGTTTCTTTTGAATAATCATAATTCAAATAAACAATACAATGAATTAATGCATACATATGAACAAGGCAAGAGAAAAAGCTATTGACATATTAAAATATTTTCTATTGGAAGTCCTTGACAGAGAAGATATCAGTGAACTGACCATTTTACTTTTTTTTTTTTGTATACGAACAATTTTTTCTTATATTAACGTAATATGTGTATTTGCTGACATGACGTTAAGTAATGCTCTTGAGAGCTTAAAGATATCGATTGAAAATGTGCATATTGAGAGAGTTGAAAAATCGACTTTTTTTGCGTCAGACGGATC